GCGAGAGAGAGAGAGAGAGAGAGAGAGAGGTCGTAATCTAATTGGACGAGCCCGCTTCGAGAAATGCCTACTGGGACACCACGGGTGAGGGGTCGGCCCGGGGCTCCAGGTGGATGGGGCCCGGGCCCCCGGGAGAACGGGCCCGGGCCCCCGATGGATGGGGTCCGGGGCCCCCGGTGGATGGGTCTGGGTCCCCGGGAGAACGGGCCCCGAGCCCCGGGTGGACAGGGCCTGAACCCCCGGGAGAACGGGCCCGGGCCCCCGGATGGATGGGGCCCGGGGCCCCCGGTGGATGGGCCCGGGCCCCCGGGAGAACGGGCCCGGGCCCCCAGGAGAACGCACCCTAGCCCCCTGGGTGGATGGGGCCCGGGCCCCGGGTGGATGGGGCCCGGGACCCCGGGAGAACGGGTCCGGGCCCCCTGGTGGATGGGGTCCGGGATCCCCGGTGGATGGGCCCGGGCCCCCGGGAGAACGGGCTCGGGCCCCCAGGAGAACGGGCCCGGGCCCCCAGGAGAACGGGCCCGGGCCCCTGGGTGGATGGGGCCCGGGCCCCGGGAGAACGGGCCCCGAGCCCTGGGTGGACGGGGCCCGGATCCCCGGGTGGATGGGGCCCGGGCCTTTGGGAGAACGGGCCCTGGCCCCCTGGGTGGATGGGGCCCGGTCCCTTGGGAGAACGGGCCCTGGCCCCCTGGGTGGATGGGGTCCGGGACCCTGGGTGGACGGGGCCCGGACCCCCGGGTGGATGGGGCCCGGGCCCCGGGTGGATGGGGCTCGGCCCCCCTGGTGGACGGGCCCCGGAGCCCCGGGTGGATGGGGCCCGGAGCCCAGGTGGACGTGGCCCGGGCCCCCGTGTGGATAGGGTTCGGGCCCCCGTGTGGATAGGGCCCGGGCCCTCGGGTGAATGGGGCCCCTAGGGTGACCCGCTTGCTCCGCAACGCGAATAAGGGGTATTTTCGATCGGTGGGCGTTTGGTTGGTCTTGTGTCCGTGGGTTATGTATCCATTTCGGTCGATTGCCTTTTGACGGCTAAGTATTTTGGTTTGGGAAAAAATATCCATCGCATCGAGGTACAGTATAATTTTGGTAACCAAGGACAAGAAACATCGGAGAAAACGATAGAGGTGCTCGTGTCTAGTGTTTTATAGCATAGGTTGACGTAGGCTACCTATTGAAAAATGGAGGCCATCGATGAATTACTATGTAGAGGTTTGAAACGTTTATATTTTTAAGAATATTGTTGCTCTTCATGCAAAAGCGATGAATGGATCTTGGACAAAATTGAATGCTCTTTTCAACTATGCCATTTTTAATTGTCAAACGTACCAGTTTATGCAGCAAAACCCGTGTAATTAAGTAGATAAGTCATGAACAAATGCCATTTTCTTCAGCGATTTGTTCCACCTTGTTTTTGATCAATTAGCTTTTCAAATTTTTCCATGAGAGGCGGTACGTTTCTGTTGACCTGACCTTCAGGTGACATTGACATCCACCCTTATGCATGGGAGCAACATCAAATCACATGTTTTTAACGCTTGAAACCACGAAAGGACTGGAAACGCGCCGCTAATGCGAGCCGGCATACGCCGAACCGCGATTCTGGCCAAACATGGTCTCGGAAAGTCGGCCAGGTTTGGCCTACTTTCCGACCTTTAGGTCGGAATTTGACCTTGAATTGACCTTTAGGTCATTTGGGCCAGGGTCATGAAATTTCTAAGGTAGGTGTAAAATTGATCAACGCGAGGGTACTGAAAGTTACCTCGCGATCAGCCGCTTTTTACGCGAGTTATTTGCGAAAAAAAAAACTTTAGGGGGGATTGCATCAGGCATCAGCCCCTTCCCCCCTGTGCCGCGAGGGTTAAAAATTCTTGTGAGCGAATTCACGTAATGAAGAAGAGTAAAGGCACAATTTACTACAGCAGCCAATAGATGACTTAGAACAGGCACATGGGACTAGTTAAATATTGTCCGACGGAAGCAGGCGACAGTTCCGATTGCATATATGCTATGCATATTGCGGAAGGGGCACATTTCGGCCTCGAAAGATACGAATTTTTACGTCATAGAACATATTTTTGTCTTGGTCAATTTGCGCAAAAATTGAACACCGGGTGATTACCGAGCTATTGTTCTATCCAAATGTTCTGATTCAAACTCGCTCAGGGTTATCGTGCAGGTAAAGGGGGCCCGCTCAGCAGAATGTGTATGAAATATGGAGAGATTCTGAAAAAATGGGTGGGGGGCCCGCACACTAGGGGGCCCGCTTTGGAGGCGATGACCCCCCCGAAATGAAATCCTGGCTGCGCCACTGCACGATTTATATGTAGTCACCGTGGTGACCCTCAGAAACGTCCTGGTGAAACGTGTTCGGCGCGCTGAACCCTGCACCGGCGCGCGTGGGGTTCACCGGCGCGCGGGACATTCAGGAGGAATGCCCTTCTCGCAGGAACAAAAAATGGCGAAAATTTGCGGTTTTCATTTGAGAATAGGTCTTTCGAGAACAAAACGAAAACTCAACTTTTATAATGAATGGTTTGTTTGAAACTGCATAGCAGTGCATAAGGAACCGAAATCCGATGAGTTTTTGGAATTTGGAGAGACGTTTTTTGGGGTGTGCCCTCCCCCGCGCAGCGTCCAATGAATTGACCGCCTTTCTGGACCCGCCAGTGGAACGCTGTGAACTGAGGAAATGGTGATATTTTCCGACAATACTTTATTGCTTAGGGATGGTGTAATGTCATTTGTTTCAAATGAGATTGTTGGTTGTAAAAGGGAGATGGCGGAAAGTATGCCGCGGCCGCCACTCACATTCAACCGTTGTCCGCAGTCCGTCCAACGCGCTCCACAAAACGCTGGACGATTCCTTGTCGCTGAGCCTTGCGCTGAGCCAACAGAAAGTGTTTTTTTTTTGTCTTTGATCCTTCTTTAAGTCCTGCCTCTTGCTGCCCGCTTAAACACTTTTGATGTGCTCAGTGACCAAATTCTTTTTTTTTTAGTAGACATCACCGAGCTTATCAATCATGTGCGTGTGCTTGTGCGGGGGGGGGGAGTGGGATGAGTCCCTCCACTACACTGGCAGCCACAGCTGCGGCGGCGGGGGGGGGGGGGGGGACTCTGAATTTGATGTTCCAAATGTTCCGGACTTGGATGTTCAGGATGTTCATTTGTTTACACGCATCATGCCTCGGGCGTAAGTGTTGAAATTTGGCGCGCATAGATCGGACTCTATGCCCCCACAGCGGCGTCGCTAGAGAGTAGTGGAAACTACTCGTATTACCTACCTCTCCATAAAGCTGTCCTTTGCTGTCCATAGCCACGTAAAGGCCGGTTTCCACTGCTCGCATTCGCACCTCCTGCAGATCCACGGCTGTCACCTCCAGCACAGCTGAAACCGAAACCGTACCGTGTCATTGGGAAACTGAGGAATATTTTGGTAGTTTTTTCCTGTTGTGGGTTGTGCTGTGCCGTGGTGCTCCACTTTGAAGTCAACAAGGTTGGTCTCACGTTTATTATGCCAAAGTAATTTCTTAGTACCTAATGTATAACTTGAGCGTAATCATGGTTTAGTTTGCATCCATTTCCCACATGTTCTTTTCGCCGAGCTTGCCTGCAGTTCTACCGATACCTGTAGCTAGGTAAATCCTGTCTGTATTCCTTGCTTTTGCGTTCAGCTGTTCCAGCTCAGAGAGCGCAGCTCTGAATTGACGTGTTACTGCCGCTTGTGACTAATGCCGGCTAATATGCAGAAGATCGTTCATTTAGTACGTCATCGGTGAAGCCTAATTAAGTCGGGTAATGTATCATCGAAATGTCAGCGATTGGTGCCAGCAATAGCAGCTCGGCGCCAAAACAACATTTCGGGAGATCCCCTTCTGAGTTGTTTGGACGGCGTGACCAAATATAGGTATATGAACTCACCATACTTGTTGAACGGCTCCTGCGTAGCGACCACCTTGCCGCCGGGCAGGATGGCCAGGTTGACGCCGTGTCGGCAGTAGAGCTGCTTCCTGCGACCGATATAGGTGTGCTCTCCGCTGACGTCCTCGTCAGGGAGCACGAACGGCGGCATGGGGAACGAGGGCACCCCCGGAACACCGCCGCCGCTGCCCGTGCCGCTGCCGTTCCCCCCGTTCCCTCCGCCACCGCCAGTACTGTAAGCAAACAGGAACGTCAGTGTTACCTGAAGCGTCAATGCTGTAAGACACAGCACTGCTAGAATATCTGTGTTACGGCTGACGTTAAGTGTCGGTATTGATAAATAACATAGTTCTTCAATTTATCCGAGCACGTTAGAGTTGCTCGAAATGTGCCGTTGGTGTTGATGATGGTAAGTGGCGGCATTGAATGTCCCCGGCAGAGAGGATCTTGGGGAAATATACAGCCAATGCGTGCGGAATCAGTTCGTAGCACAAAATTTAGTTATAACTACAACATAACACGACACCGCATGCGTGTTTTCAGAAGTTGTTTAAGTTTAGATTTAGATCCGCAGTAAAGCAGGCAGACCTTGAGGAGGACGGTAAAACTAACAGCTCCCGCTGAGAGAAATATCACGGCGGCCGGCCGAACTGGTCAACATTGGCGGCAAGTGGGGCAAACATGGCTGCCGTTGGCAAAGATCGGAGATCGTTTCGTCAGGCTCAATACGTTTATATCTGACAGGATAAACATCGCTGCCGTGAGGGATGTCGATGACTTGGGTTCGATCGGTGCCGGCTGTTCGAAATTTAACAGGTTTACCTGCGATAACTTGCCGTGTGATGACAGGATTTGCTATAACCTTCGTATCGTATACCTACCTAGGCGTTCGAGACGCAAGTTTGCCAAAAAGTTGACAATTCAGTGTTTGAGTGACTTCTGTCATGCGCTTCACGACGACGGATTATGAAAATCAAGGTATATTGGGTATGCAACAGTTTTGGTGCTTTAGTTGCGAAGCAAAGTTGGACGGAGATGCCCATTTCCAAGGCTCATATGCAAAACTGATGAACTGATATGCCATGCGGTGCAGTATGACTTCAGGCGTTTGACCATGCTGCCATCTATGAGCTGAACTAAGAAACAGAGGTTGATGTCCAGCCCCGTTCATATGTCAATGCGTTGCGGTGCAGTATGACTTCAGGCGCTTGACCATGCTGCCATCTATGAATTAAAATGAGAATTGAAGTCCAATTGAGTTGATTTGTGGTTAATAATCCATCTTTTAATAGCCATACATTTGTGAAAAGCAAATTTAAGCACCAGGTGAAATTTTATAGGTCCGTTCTGTTTTTAGGCCACCATTGAATTCGGTACGTGAATTGGCAGATAGGGGAAGGTGGCATAAGACGGCCCTCCGGGGCAAGACGGAACACCAGCCTTCCCGGCTGACCCGCTGCTGTTATCTGCTGCTTTATGCACTCACTGCCTTTGTTTTCCTTCGTACCAATGGCCAACTTGGGCTCATGGGGCCAGGACGTATGGATTTTAGTTATTGAGAAAAATGCTGTTTTTCGTCGCACTGATTTAATGTTAGAGGCCAAAGATGATTTAAGTTAAGCACTTTTCTTGCATGATTTATTTTTTCTTTGTATTTGCTGTAAAGAACAATGTCATAGTCACACTTTAGGAGAGGTGAGGTTTCGCAATGTTGGGATATTTGATATATTCATCATGATAATGACGTAATTTAGATTTGGGGCAGACGGACCACTGTGCTCCATCTTATCCTGTGGTGGTCCATTTTACAGCGCAGATGAAAAAACAATTGCTAAAACATTGACACAAGTTTCAGTAAGCTATTTTTTTCGGAAAGGAGTTTTTGTTGCATTGAGCAATGCACATAAGTGCTCAGCTAGCATGTATTCATGCCAAGCGACAAGCAACACTCAGTTTCCTAGCTTTTAGTTGCACTTTTATCACATGAGTATTGAGTATTGAATAAAGGCTTGTTTGGTTATTTTACCACTTTGATTGCTTCTACTTACAAGAGTATAGATGTGTGCCAAACATGAATGGATAGCAGGCACTGCTGGGTGGTCCATCTTACCAAGCGTTTTTCTTGTCGGTGATTTTAACATGTCTCCCTTTAAGAGCAATCACCACCTATATTTCTTGAATCTAACCCCACGTTCGATGTCGCTCAGAACGACGAAGATTCTACGCTGTCCGGCCAATCCCGTTCAAGGTCAGTGGGGATCGGCTGCGGTTATGGAACGTGATTGTCCGGACGACGTAGAATCTTCATCGTCCGAGGGACATCGAGCGCGGGGTAAAATTCAGTCTCGGCAGTCGGCACACATCAAAAGGGGAAGGATTAAACATTCATAAGACTATAAATTACATAGGGTTCGACAGCAGTGTAGCAAGGTATGTGACCTCAAACCTTAGCTGGTCCGTCTTACCCCACCTTCCCCTAACAGGCCCGAAGCGCGTAAGTATTGCTCCAGCTCGAGGCTTTTGCTGACTGTCGGGACTGGGAGATCGCACGAATTAAATTTTATTTAACACGATTGTCCTATTTTTAACTCGATGTGCGTTTGTATAATGGCTGTGTACGCTGCTTATCATTCTGTTTTATGTGCAGTATTGTTTCATGCCATTGCCACTAATTTTAGATGTAACGGTGACGCTATCTTTATTTGTTGTACGTTAGCAAAAATAGCTGACGTTTGAATGTAGGTAGGCGTCGCATATGCTTACGTAGGTACACTGAGGTGGCTATCGAGGTTTTGGACTTTTAATAAGTACGGATGACTCAAAGTTAATACCTACTAAATGTTGTCTAGTAGAACAGCCTTTTTATTCGTTTTCACATTGTCAGTCTTTTCGGCATTCCGTTCATGCCTGCTGTAGATGTTTGAAGTAGAATAGAAGCTTACCTGTTTGGCCTGTTTCCGGGCCGTCCGGATCCAGGATCCGGATCTTGTGGCAGGAGGTCCGGTGGCGTGGTGGGCGACTCGCTCCTGGGGCACAGGTTACCCATTTCACCGCTCAGCACCCTGCTGACATCTCACCAACGTCCTCAGGACCCGCTGTTTCACGCGTTCGCTCCACCACACCAATTGTACACTGGACCTCCCACGCTCAAGGCCCGCACGTTTTTCGCTCGAAGTCTTAACCTTGCACGCGTGCACAACCGCTCTCGTGCACACGTCTCCCTGACCCTGCGTCCAGGCACCACGCCCTCACTCCCCCGCGTCCCCTCGTCCTCTGGCCCGTCGAGCCGCGCGCGGTCCGAGCCGTAAGCTGCCGCCAGCGCCGCCGCCCCTCTGCCTGCTGTCAGCACGGGCGGCGGCTCAGCCAGACTGCTGGCACACGCCCTGCACCCGCGTGGGAGCTCTGAGCCGCCGGCGCCGGGGCGGCCGGGAGGAGCAAACGTGGCCCTCTGTTGGTGTTGGGACGTCGCCAGGTAGCGTCAGACGATTCGCCGGCTCACAACACTGCCACTACGCCCGCTCGGATTTCTCGGCTCACTAGCAGGGTAGGACCGAGGTCGAGCCGGGGTAGAGGGCGCTGCAGGCCTCCCATTCATGCGTTTTTAGGGGTGAGCTGTCCTCGACGCGACGGCGGTGCCCGTGTGAAGCTATTTTGGGACAGTGTGCGCGCGTGTGTGTTGAAGGTGGATGATTTACGGTACGGTGCCAGCGCAGCGCCGGCAGATGAGGGCGAGCTGTGGGTCTATTTTGGTTCCACGTCGTCTCCGGCACAGGAAGGCTGGTCCACATTTGGGCCACACACAGAGCGTGGCGTGTCCTGACATGGCGGAGTCGGACGTGTAACACCCGTCTGAGGCTGCGGTTGGGCTCAAAGGTTCCTCGCATTTCACCTGAACCGGCACAGCAAGTCAGCAGAGCAAGGGATGTGCATTGTGCATTGGTCAGCACGTCTCGATGAGTAACGTGATATACAGCACTCTTTGGAGCTGGCATCCGCAGGAACGCTGACACATCGAAATGCCGGAATGTCTGCGGTTCAGAAACGCTCGTATAATCGGACAGCAGACTCCAGCAGACATCCAGAGTCCAGACATCAGGTCAGAGCTCGGGTCACGGCTCAGACTGGCGGGCCGCAGGATTCAACCTGACGCGACCACGGTCGACCTGCTCAGCCCTCGCCGTGTAAACATTGCTTACCGCGCCTGTCGGTCGCGTCGGCGCCGTCGCTCGTGCCGATTTCGATGGCGGGCGCCGTCAGCGGTGACGCAGGGAGCGCGGCCTCCCGTCGGGCGAGTGACGAGCCGGAGCGCGCTCCGAGCACGGATAACGGATGGCTCGCTGAGCCGTCTGACGTTGAGAACGTGCCAGCAGCGACGGCGGCGGTGACTGAAGGATGCATGTGCTTCGGCGCGGCAACAGGGGCAGTTTTCTGACGGTTAAAGTGAAAAATGGCCCGGCGGCGACAGATGGCAAAGGATGGGTCGGAGGCACACATGAGGTCTCGAACTGTCACCAACTGGACAATGGGGCCGTTCACCAGTTCTGCACTCACCTGACTGTTTGCTCCTCCATGTGCCACCTTTGGAGCTGACGGGACTCGTTTCTGGCGCCTGTCCAATTCTCACAGGATGATACGGCTCCCGTCAGCAGGCTGCCTGCTCTCTGAGTTTTTGACTATTTCGGCAGAGACATCGCACCGCACTGTCTGCCCTGCCTACGGCAGAGACACCGCTGCGCTGTCTGTCCTTTCACCAACAGTGTCCGACACTGTCTGTCCTGTTTGAGTTCTGGACTCGTTGTGGCCAGGTCAAACGGTAACGACTGGACCCTCCGTCTGGCAACCGGCTATCCGTGGCTGAAGATCTGGCAAACTGTCGTGTCGCTCCCCTTTGAGGGGCCGTCGGCCCTGCTCAGCCCCAGCAGTTGGCACCGCCGCACCCCGCAGTCGGCCCGGTCATAATTCTTGCAATCGACGGCCGCATTTAGCGCACCGCCAATCAAAACACTGGATGCCATGCTATGCCACGAATCAATTGTACGATCTATGTGAGTCTTAACAAATTATTGTCTTAGTTATTTATTCTGCATTGCTTTTAAATCTTTTGTTTTATTTATTGCTGTCAGTATACCGGTCTTCTTAATTTTTCTTTCTAGCGTGGCTTATATGCATAATTATGAAAATATGAATGGTTATGAGATCATGAAGCATGAACCTTTGCCTACCTTATCTGCTGACTCATTTGAGGCTGCCATGCATGAGCTAGAATTCCTAGATTCGGCGAACGATCACGATCAACTGTGCACGATCTCCATATCCTACCTACCACGGCACGTGCTCAGGAAACAGAATGTGATGACTCATGGCGAGTGATCGCGACCGCATGTTTCATGACTCATTTAATCATTGTGTGATGTCATACGAGCCCTGAAATTACGTCATCCTTCGTAATCGGTCTGATCGTGTAATTCAAATGATCGGAAACGTAAAAAGCCAGATGCACCATCTTTGATGTTGTACTAGTGTTCACCGTCCGATCCTTCGGCATCAGATACCTATATCCATATCATAAAATTACGGTAAATTGAACCATAATCGGGATATGTTTTATTTCATTAAGTCTGGTACTGGGTATAGTTAATTTCTATTGAATCCTCAAGCATGGGTGGAGCTTTTCCAGGGAAGTTGGAGGGGCAAAAAGTCGTCAAACCACAATGTCCGATTATGAGGTTGAACAAAATGCCACACTGAATCAATTCCTATAATTACAGAAATAACATTTTGCATTAAAAAGACATTCCGAAGCTCTTCAATACAAAACAGATTAATTTGCAAAGCAACAAATTCTTAGAAATCAGCTAAAGTTGGTGGGGCAAAACGCTTATTGGTAGGGCAAAATACCAAGTTGGTGGGGCAGCCGCCCCACCAACTGTATAGGAAGCTCCACCTATGTCCTCAAGTCCACTTGCGTCTAGCGGTAAAAAATGTTCGCAATGTCCTTAGTTATAGAACTTGAGAGGTTGTTTGAAGATACCTACCGGCCACCTGGGGTTATTGACCATTCATCAATGCAGTTTTGTGGACATCAGAGCCATTCACCTTCCCCTTGTAGCGTATAAGCCTAGAAGGACAATGTAAGCATGCTGATACATACGCAGTATGGTGTCCGTTCTAAATACGACCATAGTGGGCCCGGCACGTAACGGGCTGCGATGAGCCGAAAGTCGGTTTGTGGCTCCATCTGCATGTCAGGCCGGCGGCCGGCGAACACCACCTAGCGGTTGGTCGAGCGTAAGGCAATAACGGCTCAGAGACAGAATTTTAGGTTAGCAGGTCAGGTGAGGTGGATTTGGTTTAGTTTTATAGCGATCGGACTGTTGTCACTACATGTAGTGACACCAGTCCGATCGCGCTGGCGTACTTTTGCATACAGACATTTGCTTACGAACTTTTCTGACATACTTACGGTACCTATTGTGAAGCAGGTCACAGGTCAAAGGTCATTTGGGTTGGGGTCGCGACATTGTTAAGCCATGTGAAAAATTGATTGATTTGAGGTTGCTGAAAGTTTCGTCGCGATGGGCCTCTTTTTACGCGAGTTATTCGTGTAAAACCCAGGACCCACTCGTTTTCGGGGTTCATCTGACCCCTCCTTTAAATGCGAGGGTTGACCCGCGCATTGCCGGGGGGGGGGGGAGGGTAGGGGATTGGCAGATTTTGTCCCTCCCCTCCTCCCGTTTTTTGATGCTAGATTATAAGCGCGTTAAGCCAGCGAACCTCAGTACCTATCTCCACTTGCATCGATTTGAGTTTGACATGTTCCCTGAAAATTTGAGCGGAATCTGTCGAAAATGTTTCGAGAAAATGCGTTTCAGTGACGTCATGTCACGCCAATTTCGCCGCAAGAAAGCTAAGCAAACCTTCAAACGTCTCTAACGTCGTATTGTATTGTACTGTACTGTATTGTATTGTATTGTATTGTAGTTATTGTATTACGTTCGTGGGGTTCTCTGCAATAAATCGTGGCTATTACTACCCCGAGTCAATATGGGTAGAGGAGTAAAAGCGTACAAATACTCAAACACACACACACATAGACACACACACAAAGTCGAACCACACACACACATACTATGCCCACGACTCACGGGATACTATACTGGTAAAAGTCAAACGCGTAAAGGGTCTTAGTCAGGATCTCACGCGTGTGTGGGTCGTGCTAGGTGAGATTGTACGGTCCTATAGACATATCGGTTATAGGTACAGGTCACCGCTGAAGTAATGTGGGGTTATACTGTAATCGAACAAAACATAGCGCCATTCCTTGACGGTAAGATGTATCGTCAAAGGCGAGGATCGCACAGCTTCGTATGTCAGTTAGACAACTTTCTCTAATGTGTCACAATTCTACCTGCCACAGCATACTCGCTATCATCGAAAAACTGAAATATCGAGCCCCTCGGAGCACCCCGGAGTCATATTTCTGTGACCGCCACTGAACACAGAGTTGTAAACCTACGCGCGTGCGTACTACGCAATAGTAAAGAGTCATTGCTGGACCCTCCAGTAGAGAGTAGCCATTGATGATCCGGACACCAACATCGACCGATAGGAGCTCTCTCTCTGACAGGCGAGAAGGGGATGGTCAGAGGTGGGGAGGGGTTGACCGCGGGGCTACTGGCCAGCGCAGTGGGAGGGGCTTGGTTGGCGGTAAGCTGACAGGGACACCAGCCGCGGGGCAACAGTGAGCTTTGACCCGAGGCGTGCGAGAGCGATGCCTGATGCCATTTTGTGAAGCAGCCAGCGTGTCACGGATTCACGTGGGAGCTTTGACTGAAATAACTATCAAGGCTACAGTTTTGGAGATAGGAAAAACAATATTTGAGAGAAGATGTCCGTAAGGAGCAGTTGTAACTTATTGCTATCCCAGATTTACCATTTATTTTCATTTAAAATATTTGAATGAATTGATGTTTATTGTTTTGCATAACAATAGCCTATCAGAATGCATTAATGTTTCACCACCTATGTAGTCTAATTCTGTAAAATATTTGTGCATCGGCTTCGGTGGTCCCCCGAACCTTTCTTGTTCAGTTTGAGGGCCTCATCGACATGACCTGTATCACAAGATTTACGCTGTAGCAAAATCCTACGCTAGCGGTAGGAGTAGAAACGCTGTATGACGGAGGCACCGGCGCCCCGACAACTGGGTCGAGGCAGGTGGAGGCCGGCCAGAGGTCATGCTCGTATCGCTCACCCTTGACCCCGTCCACCGCCCCCGGCGGATACTCAACAGGGCGCTGATTGGCTCATTGGTCTGTCTCAGTGCAAGCGCCAATCACAGTCAGCTCAGACTCAGTGTGCTTGCTGCGTGTGAAATCACAACGAAGCATGATACCGCCATAACCGATGACCCTATACTTGGAAGAGGCCTTCTGGACGGCGTTCACAGATAATTAATGGGGGGGGGGGGGAATTCGACATCCAATTAGGTTTCTAAAATAAAATGGTCAGTGGATGAAAAGCATAACATTTATCTCAACGTTCACTCATTTTCATAAAAAAACAAAGACGAGGAAATAACGTTGAAGTATAGGACTATTAGGCGAGCCAATACTTTTTATAATTGATATTTATGGAAGGGTGCAATGTAATTGCAGTCACACTCGTATTTCTTTAGCGATTGCAGTTGGTGATCTTTCCGTACACGTTCTGAAGCTGTCGGAATAAATCATTGAAAAACCTGGGTGAATTGCGCCACCCATGTGCCGATGAGTTTATTTTTTTTCCGCTTTGCGATTAAAAAAAAATCAACTGTTTTGCGGGTAGGACGGCTTCCGTTGACCAAACCTTTATTGTCATCTCAAAGGGCGGCGACCACCTCCCCGTCCCTCCTCGACCCCTTCCCTTTATTTACAGGACGGAGTCCCGTCCCTCACCGCCGACTGGTCACGTGATTGGCTTCGCCCGAGGCCCGGCCGACTGACCCAGAGCGCGGTAGGCGTCATGCCATGCTGCTTTAATCACTCACCACATCGCGGCTACTGTTCAGAGAGCCGTGACACCAGGAACGTCGTGGCGGAGCGGTTGAGCGTCAGGCTATGGATCGCGGGGTTGTGTGTTCGGTTCGCGCCGGAGTTTTCCGTTTTCCACAGACTCATAGTTCTGGCCGGCTCAGGCGAGATGGATAGCTTTTTAGGTTATGACCCCACGAACACTATGAATATAATCGACATTCTTTAACTCTTGTTCGGTCATAAGTTATTAGCCGATCATATGTATGTGTATGGAAATATCTCATTCCTAATTCGCAAAAAGTAGCAGACTCACTTTATCGTCATAGAACTCATTTAACGTCATCACTGCCTTCACTGGCAAGTGAGTTGTTAGAGATGTGACCTCGTCAGAACCGCTTTGCGGTAAACGACACAGACAAGTTCATTGGCTGCGGTGGCTATGCAGCCTGCCCTGATCATGTCAACGGCATTGTGACTAGTTCAGCCATGAACACATTCCGCATTTTCCAAGAAAGAACTATATATCGACACGCTCGGTACCGCGGAGGGTATGCCAACCTAACAGACCCGCACTGCCCAGCGCTCC